CTCAAATGAATGACTTTTCAGGACTTTAAACATACCTAACAGTTTGAGCTTAATAATGAGATATATATGACTAGCTCTATCAAAAGTTTATAGCAATTCGTACGATTTACTTCTTCGCGAGAGAACAAATGTTACTCCACGAACTCAGAGAATCAAGAAAGAAACAGATTCTAGAGGAAGAATTATATTTGATACTGGCCTCGTGATATCGAATTAATATCGAGGCAAGAGGGTGTACAAAAAGCCAACGTCCACGCAGGAGACGTGCGAAGAGGAGAATGGGAGTAACACGCTTGGCGCGCGAGAGATAGTATTTAGTACATATAAACAAGAGGTGTACAGTATAACAATTATTGTCACAATTAAGTAAAATAATGATCGTTTATATTCCAGCAGTTGTGTTTTCTTCGTAAAAGTAAACCACTACAAGCTTTTGAGAGGCCGAATAATATCACATCGATATTTCGTTGGCAATCGACAATGGATATTGATCCGCACGACACAGTCAGTAGGTTGGTTATACAAGAATGGCCCTTTCTGAAGGGAAAGATGTTTATGGATTTAGAGAAGTTGCACAAAGCGTTGTATATCAAAAACACCACAAGTTTTGATGTTAACATTCACAAAATCCTCAAAGGAGATGAATCGTTTCTTTGAGCTCTTGAAAGCAGATTTTTGTCGATCATAGTCAATCTCGACTCGATCACCACCAAAGGTATAAGCCAAATGTATGCATTCAAAAAATGATTTAAAAGCGACAAGTAAGCTGCTCAAAATTATGATGTAGGAATACCCAGTAATTAGGCATGGCGTTACTTTTTACTATGCTGAGCTACAGGTTAACAATCGAATAAAGGAAGCACTCAAAATACTCCTAATTCTAAGTGATGCACACAACACAAACAAAATCTGCATTTCTTGAAATTTTGCAGATACATTCAAAAACTAATCCATTCGGAGCCACTACAAGTTTATAAAAATTTATGTTTAAGAAGGAGTATGTCAATCTGCTTTTATTCCGATATGACAAATACATCTATCCTTCTTGTGAGCACAGCATCCAAAATCTTTTTCATGAGAAAGTATAAACCAATTGATTTTTTGCGCCCTATTCTTGTTCTTTCGATGACTGATTGGGGTGTTACGTCCAAGTTTTGCTCCTTCCCGTTATTGAAGTACAGTATGTCGATCTATTTGCAATTCACGAACCCAAATTAACAACAGAACCAAACTCCAAAGTTAGGTACCAATGTTTATTCGCACGTCACAAATAGCCGACCAAAATGTCGTTCTAACAACAATAATTATAACAACTACAAAAACCTTCAATTTTATAGGTTCCTGGAGCAAAAACTCCCAATTAGCAAACCAAGACAAACAGAAACCAAAATGTCCGAAAATAATAAGCCAAACAAGTTCATAAGTTAAGTAAAACAAATATGCCCAAAAAACACAGTGAAATTAATGATATTTATATTAAGGTTTTAATCAGCCAAATGTCTTCATTTCTCCAGTAACAGGGGGATAATACTGAAATAAGACATTTCAGGGATCTAATCGATTAAAATTTCTCAAATAAGTAATTTTTAAATGTAATATAAGTTGACAGGAGATATAACGGTATACATTTTGCTCATTCATCGACAAGCCCAAGTAGCTATTAAAATAGGTAATCGAGAAAGTTATCTTATTCAATCCCTCCAAGTAGTAAATTGCAGTAGTCGAAGTAATGTAAAACACAATATTCAGATCACAGCATCCAGCTGCTTCAATAAATTGACATATATGGTTAAATAGGATTTCGCTCCAGGCTGATTTTTTACCAAAGCGATGGATGATTAATGACGGTTATCGTATAGAAAAACATTTGAATGCATTCCTGTCTTAACCGTCAAGGTTTCAGCTACATAACAAACGATAACGACAAACCATACAAAGGAAATATAAATCACACGTGTGCGTAAATGTTTGGGATAGACTTAACTTGTAAACAACTTTAACTATTTTTCACATCGTTTGTAAATCCACTTATTTGTAAAATCACTGTTAATGACGTTAAGACTGTTATTGGAATTTAACCTTGTTCTTCAGTCATTGTTTCGTTTGTCAGTAACTGCTCTTAAATACGCTGCTGCTCGAAAACCATACATTTTCAGTCATCCAGAGAAAATATTTTTAATGCAACTTAATCACAGATCGTAATCATCTTTCTGTCATTAGATTATGATTGGCATGCGTTTGAAATATGTATATTCCATGTTCCGGCAGTAATAATTATTTTTATAATTATGGATTCCAAGAGAGAAAACTAGAACATGAATCCTGCAAATAATGAATAAAGATTTGATCGTCTTTCATTGTTTTCTATTCATTTTGAAACAATTCTATGAAAGTCTCGATCAACCTGAAGCACTTGTGGAGTTACTGCTGGTCTCGAACCCGGACATAGGAGGAAAATTGAGCATGAGGTTAGCGCCGACATTCCGCTGAAAAACGACTTGCCAAAATGTGCTAACCGGAAAAGATAATTTGAACAATTTAAACTCGGCCTTGGCAGTCGTAAGATATTCGTTTAAAAAATTTATCAGGTCTCATGGTGAAAGCCGAGTTTCTTCGTAAGCCACAAGGTCAACGTCGCCTCAAACAACCAGAGCAGTCATTACTGTAGGCACAAGGTTTGTTCACACATTGTGGGATACGGGAAGAACTATTTACGTTGCTGTGGAAATGAAAAGATGCAACCTTCTGGTACTTGGAATAAGTGAAACTCATTAGACACAGACTTGACAAAAAGACTAGCTTCAGGAGAGAAGCTGTTACACTCCTGCCATGGAGAAGGAAATGCCTAGCTCATGCACAAAAAGTTGCAAGGCCTCCTTCAAAATCCAATTGATTATTTCTGCATCAATAAAAAATTCAGAAGTACCTGGGAGGATATAAGGATAAAAAGAGGTGAAAGCTTAGCCTCAAATCATGACATGGAGGTGGTAAAAATAAAGCTGAAACTAAATAAGCATTGAACAACTGGGTGAATCGCATCCAAAAAGTTTAATACGCCTTTTCTTCGAGATATTGGAAAACTGAACAAATTCGGGATAGTTCTCAGCAGTAGCTGACAGGCTTTTCACGATCTACTCAGTCGAAAGGAAACTACAACGGATAACAATGAGAAAGGATCAAGAAGGCAATAACTTCAACACGCATGAGGTTATGAGCTACCAGAAGCACCATCACTAGGGATGGTTCTCTTAGTAAAATTCAGGAAAGTGGGAACATGAAGGCGTCAATCAAACTTTTGGAACATCTAGCAGTGAAAAATGTACGATGCAACAAAGAAGCTTGGAGAAAACTATCATATGCCAGGACGACAAGTGAAAAGAAGAGGCAACGTAATCACCTGGTTTGTAGGACATTACGAAGAATTCCTGGATATACCAGTCACGTTGAACCCACTCAAAATCAGGCAGCATACGCGGACATCCCGTTTAACGTTGACTCACAAACAAATGAAGCGGTCAGAGCAGGCATCAGACATATAAAGAGCAGAATAGCAGTAGGTATATACAACACTTCATCCGTGGCACTGAAAACCGACATAGTAATAACTGCAGATATTGCAGATATTACAGTGTACCTGAGAAGATAGCCAACTTCAAACGGAATTCTTATGATGGGCTACACTTCAAGTTTCTAAATACACAGTAGCTCATAGACTCACTCCAAGTGGAGACCAGGTTCAGGTAAGTTTGCTTACTCTCAATTTATGTCTCTCTTCTAATGGTCGCCTGGATTGTGAAGACGTCAGCATCTCAAGGGAAGCATGGAATACAGTGGACAACTCAGATACGGATGGATGGTTTGAATTTTGCAGATTATCTGGCCCTTTTATGCCACACCCAACAACAAATACAGATGAAGGCGGCCAGTGTAGCAGCAGCCTCTACAGAAGTAATTCTCAACATACACAATGAAAAAAGCAAAATCTTATTTCACGACAGTATGCACAAGTCACATCTCATCTGATGGAGAAGTTTTCGAAGATATGGAAACCTTTACATACCTCGTCAGCATCACTGATAGACAAAGTTGATCTGGTGTAGATGTAAAGACACTGATTAACGAAGGAAGGGCAACCTTTGTAAGATTTAAGAACATTTGGAACTCGAAGCAACAGTCAACCAACACCAAAATCAGATTTTTCAACATGAAAGTCAAAATAGTTCTATTGAAGGAAGTGAAAGCTACAGGGGCCATTATCTGTAGGGCGTCGTTATTTAGTAACAGTCGTCTATGCAAGATACTACGGATCCATTGGTCAGACACCATGATCAACAACCTAATTTTTGAGAGAACCAGCTAGTTAACTCTGAGGAACGAATTGGGACCACACACTGGACACATTTTGGAAATTGCCGTATCTACCTCTCCTGGCCCTCATCAACCTTGAGTCCTCAAGGCCAAAGGAGTAGAGCAAAAACAAAGAACACATTTTGCAGAGAATAGGAAACAGATATGAAAAGAATGATCAGAAATTGGCAGAACTGGAAGTTAAGACCCAGGAAAGAGTGGGTTCTGGAATGGTAGTTGGTGGCTTATGCTCCATTAGGAATAACAGGCTTAAGTAAGAACGAAGATAACCAAAAAGTTGATCGTATTTTTGATTGCTCATTTATCGACCTACAAGCAAGAAGGAAGTGTTTTCCGAATACATTTCGTAACTGACTTCTAGAGGTCCAATGTTGCCGAATTTGTTTGGCAGTTGGACATGTTTCCAATACAGACAAAAACAAGTGTGACAGATTTCTATCAGTTAGATAGAACTATCAAGAGATGTTTCAAACTTCTTACTATAACAGAACAAACATAAGTGTAGCAAATATGCCAAAACTGACTTCGCTAGAAGTATGTTACAGATGAATTGAAAATGGTGTCAGTTTCGAAACAATAAACAGATTCCTGAAGTTCACTAAGGCTTCGTTTCTATCTACTAATGATGATCGCTGCAACCTTCACCGCTTGTTTTGAAATAGTTGCAGTCAAGGATGGTTTCTGAGTGAGTGTGTCATTTATGTGCCAAATGTTTCGTTTATCTGGAAATCTGTTATTCAGTCTACTGTAAAAGCTTCTTTTATTTATTTTTGCAGAAGTGCTTCCACTTTCACTTCTCAAAAAGCAAAAGTTGATGAGTTAATGAAGGTAGACATATCAAAAGGAGACTTATGGTAGCTTTTCTTATCGCCACTAGTGTTTGTTTCAGGTATATTCTGTCTCTTAACTGGTGGACAAAGTGGGAAGAATTTGTGGACTCGGTTTCCAAAAGTGGGATGGTGGATGACACTTCGGAAGAATATCCTGGAAAAGTTGATAATAGTGATATTTTAAGTAAGATTTCTTTCACTCATATGTTATATTAACGCAGATGGTGAAAAGTTGAAGGAAAACTTGCTCTTGGAAAACGATATAACGTTAGTACCTAAGGATGTGTGGAAGCTGTTCGTTGATTTTTATGGTTGTGTACACACAAATACTTCAGTCTTTGAACGACGTGCTATCCAGACTCCCAAGTCAGCAGAAATAGAAATATATCCACCTCATTATTCATTTTACTTAAATCCGTTAAATTCAAGTCCAACGTTCTTGTTCGAAGGAGTATATTGTAAATTCCAGACAATACGTATGTCGTGGTTTCCGTAAATTACTTTTCAGGAGAACTTAAACTGTTGGTTGCACAACACCTCAAAACTGCACCTAGTGTAACGATTCACTTATCAATACACAATGAGCAAAATGAATTTGAAGAACTGGAGGATGAAGACGCCACCATAGAAGAAGCTAACTTGGAGCGTGAAAAAGTAAAATTTCAGTGAGCTTTTTGTTTCTGTAATGAAATAACCACCCAATTGTTTAACAGCAAGTGTAAATGCATAGAAATATTCGTTTCTCAGTAATCATGGTTACAGGAGGTATGATTCGAAAACCAATAAGCTGAAGTTCGATATCTCATAGTATTTAAGTAGTTAACATTAATTTGTTGGCTCAAACTCATTCCAAACACGGAATTTTCAATGGTAGAAGTAATACATAAATTCCCGTTCATGTCTCATTCCTCCCACATGGTACAAGGAATCACTTAGGTAAAAAACCACTTCGCAGTCTTTCAGGACACATGGAAACGGACTTGTGACGACCCATGAACGTTATTTTTCACAAAAGTTCATTAACGTCCGTCGGCTTTCGAACTTTCAGGCCATGGTATTTTTAATTTATAAATCTCTATGCATTGTTTTAATAGTCAGATGGTACCATTAGCTTGGACCCAGTAGAAATGCTGCAATACCTGGACCTGTTTAAGCTTACTAGATAAATAAGACTATCACCAACAGGCAAGGGCTATGAGGAATTTTGTTTTAGGGTTATTGTAATAACTTATTCGATACAGGTACTACTAGTTATGACTGAGGACACAGTTGTTCGCTTACTGTCTAACGGAGCCGGGATCAATTGTGTTGTGGAAGACTAAATAATAAATGTGGTTTAGGCTGGAAAAGGTTACAAAGCCAAGGATTGTTATTTTTCAAATATTCACATATATACAGTAGTACCCTATTCAGTTACGAAAATGCTACTTCATTTTCGTGTTATATTTATCTTCACCACTAAATAGTCTAGCAATGTTAAGTTTCAGGTTTCTCGAAAATTTTCAGTACCCCATTCAGATGCTAACACTCCAATCACTAAATCCTACTTTTTAGTCCCACATTACTACAATCTTCCTTTATTGCTAGAAGCCGTAACTAATTTATATAAGTAGTCTGGAAAATATATTTAAGTTTAGAATCTCATGCCTAGAACATCAGTTGATCAGCAATAGTAAAACACTACTACATAATGTCGATCGTGCAACGCATCACCAAGTCCTACATTCGACGTGTAGTAGTAACTTGAGCTCCAGTGGTCTAGAAAAGGTAGGTATTTACAGGGCATTATGAAAGCCAAAAGTAATCCACTAAGTTTGTAATAGATGTTAAGTGCTTGTGTCAAATATTAATCATGTAATCCCGTGTTTACAAATTTTTGTCTTGTTATTTTACTCAGGTTATTTTTGTTCAGCTGGAACCCAGAAATGGAATGCGCAATGAGTAAGTACTAAGATCATTTTTGCTTAACCTACATCGGGTATGGTTTTAATCTCTATCTTGCTAATAACTCCTTGTCATTATCAATATGTCACTTGAACGTAAAAGCTGACATTATTCTTTCCTAAACCAATTGACAGTAATTTAGTATTGCTTATAAGTTACCGATTACTGTTTTTTAACATATACTAACTAAGCTATTCATCCTATTCAATTTCATAGACATCGGTTAAATATCTGTAAAAAATATTTATCAGATCTAGTGCACTTTAGTAAATATATAGAAATTTTTCAGTCAGTCAGCCACAGCGTAGAACTTCGTATGTACGTACACCATACCAGATTAGCACAGAGACTCACTTGTCACTTCAAATCCCATAGTAGTAGGGGTAGTATGAGTATTAGCAGTAATCGGAGAGATTAGGGTTCGAGAATATTATTGAAGAAGTAGAAAAAGATAAGGGTGATGAGGAATTCAGAAGATTAAAATTTGAGAGAAGACAAAGAGTGAATGCATCTGTGTCATTGCAAACGATTTTGAGCCATTTCATTCAGTGTCTCTAACCATCGATTACTATCATCTCGTGGGCCCCAACCCGGTAGTCGACACCTACCAACATGACTTAATCCCGTTGTCAGTGACTTCATGGATTTGTGGCATGTTTTGGCTTGGTTGCCCCTAGCTTTCTTCCAACTCAATTCTACATCGCAAAGCATAGCTGGACGAGACAGTTGGTAGTTAGGCATGTCCCAACCACCTCAACCGATGAAGTTTGATTACCTTATCTATTGATGTGCCTCCCTTACCTAGGACCCGTTTCCTAACGACAGCATCGCTTAGTCGGTTGTCCCAGGATACACGAGCAATACTTCGGAGACACCTATGATCAAAAACCTGCAACCTACGAATACCTTGTACTCTGACTGGTCATGTTTTGTAGCCATAAAGTAAGACGGAGTGAACTGATGTGCAGTAGACTCGTCCTTTGATTAGAAAACGGATATCTCGCCTACGCCATAGCTAACGCAAGTTGGCAAAAGCCAATAGAGCCTTCTGTATCCGTGCCAATCCAAGCAGTTTAGTAGCTAAATGTTTTTATGCTTCTTGAAGTTCAGAACTGATGAAGCCTTTAATCTAGGATTGTTATACTTTGTGCAGTAAACGCAAACTTTGGTGGTATACAATATTCTTAGTTCTTATTAGTCTTATTAACTAGTCTATTAGTCATTACTTAGGAGAGAAATGTGTTACTTTGGTTCCTGTACTGTATCAGCACTACTTTTCTTCTTTGAATGTAGCATTTACGTAGATAGTTCACGTGTAAAGTCAAATGACTCTATAAGATTTGGATCTGAATCACAGATGATATCTTTACATGAATCGGGTCCACCTTTAGTACCAGGAGTTTGTGGTCTCAATAACTTGGGAAATACCTGTTTTATGAATAGTGCTCTTCAGTGTATGTCCAATGTTCCTGCATTAACCAGTTATTTCCTAAGTGGCAAGTGGAAGTCAGAACTAAATATACGTAATCCTCTTGGGTCTCAAGGACGAATCGCTACCGCTTATGCAGATCTCATTAAGCAGCTTTGGTCAGGGACTCGAGCATATGCTGTGCCTCGTGAATTTAAGGTATGTATTCATTGATATGCTCGTTGTATTTATATTATTATATCGAATATCCTTCTATTTGTCTATGTAAACTTTGAATTATTTTATTTTTATTACTAACCAGTGTTCTTTTTGATACATGGGAGTTTTTGATTATGTTACATCAAAACCCCAACCTTGTGTAAATAAAGTAAATGATTCAAATTCATCTACTCCTGAGCATTTTATCCAACATCATCTACGTACATCTGTTTCCTTAAGTAAAGTTCGACGACAGTCTAAGATAGGTAATTAATGACGGGTAACTATTTAAAGTAAGGCATATTGATTGATGACTGTGTTCATTTTTTGAGCGGATGTGTAAAAATAAAGACTTACCGTTGTAAAAGTAGCGAAACCCCTCAAATATTTGTGTAATTTATACGCATTTTAGTATCTTGTATATGCAATCGTCTCAATGTTTTCTCTGATTTTTGTTTTTCTACGTAAACTCTGATAATCGTTTAATTTTTTTCCTTAAAATGCATACCGTTTTTACTAGATTAAAGTATTTCTCATTCCTTAAATATTACTTGTTTTACCCTAAACTGCAGCTTATGATAAGACCTTTACTAACTACCAGTCATTCCAGATCAATAAAACTTTCTACGTGATTTTATTGCTTTTATTGAGATCGGGGAGTAATCTAGAGTTCCTGCTGATTAATTACTTTCAAGTTACTTTCAGCTAGCCTTAGTTTACAAATAGATTTCTTGTTACCTATGAATTCAACAGTAATCCTACTGCTGTCAGAATTTCGTTGATTTAGCTTCTTCATTTTGTTGTTCAATACGGTCTCCATGTTTTCTTTAAAGAACAGATTTTTGTTGTATTTTTTAAAGGATAACGTTGTTTATTAATGTCTTTATTTTTCTCTCTTGAAACAATCTGACTACAAGAGTTTAATAAACATCTTTATTGGTTTCATCGTTTCAATTGTGTATATATATGGACTACGCCCCAATATTAAGCACATTTACAACGTTAACTCATAACTTCCCTTACTTATTGGTACTACTTGTTTTTAAAACCTTAGATTGAAATAGCACGTATTGCTCGTCAATTTTCTGGATATGCTCAGCACGATACTCATGAACTACTTGTGTTCTTATTGGATGGACTTCATGAGGATTTAAATAGGATACACTCCAAGCCTTATATCGAAGTGAAAGATTCCGATGGTAGACCAGATATGGTGAGCTTATCCCCTATTATACTTATTGATTATAGCGTTTCCATTTCTTTTGTTACTAAATCAGTTTAAATTTATTCAGATTTCATACCACTGTGCTTACTTATTAAAATATTCTTGTTTATTTTATAATTCTTAAATACTTGGTTTCCCAGTATTCTACAAAACCACTTTTGGCAGCAATGTTTCAAAAACCACGTGCTGCTCTTAGTCCATGAGAAGAAATAGTGAAACTCAAACAACTTTATATTTTTTTTAATAATCAATACTAGTTAAAAATATATAAAAGACGGTGACCAGAATTGTTACATGGCACCATTCATATAGACATTTACTAATAACTCATTTGTATCTACTTGTTTCAGACTTATTAATATGTCTGTTATGATTCCTTTTGGATGTCTCACCTTTTTGCTTATTTTTTCCCTGCATCCGTTACAATACTAACTCAATGTCTGAATGAAACTATTTGGTCAATCTGTTTATTCACAAACGATTGGCTAATTTGTACCCCCTATTACTTACACCATTTTTCTAAGTTCTTTTAGTAAACCAGTAAATACATTTATAACACTGGGCGATCAGTATAGTTATTATACAGCAACTTATCATACCCATTAAATCGAATTTCGTCCACTGCTTGTTTGTTAATTCTGTATACAAGTTCTTTTAATAAAGATTCGTTAGTTAACTGTGTTTTCCAGAAATTGGACTCATCCGACATCGAAAATTTTCTTCTAATTTTCTAAAAATCACAGTGATTGAGGGCTTTAATAATATATCAAGCACTCAACAGACATTCTACACTTAATAATCGAAAAATCCTTACTTAGTATTGACCTAGACGATAGGTTACATTAATTAAGAATATAATTCACCCGATTTGTTCGCAATGTAACGTTTTATTTTATATACTAAGCGTTCATGTAGTGTAACAACCAAGTCCGTGACTCATTAACTACGTACAGCCTGGCAAAGTATGTATTGATTCAATATTGTCACTCTTGACCTCATAATCATACGAGAGAAAAATTAGCAAGATGAAAAGTGACAAATTATATTTATGAGATTTATAGTACAGAGTCTCCATTAGGTCTAAATTCTCGATTTTGAATAGATTAAAGAAATCTTATGGTTCAACAAAAAACCCTCCATTCCTTCCTAGTTGTTAGTGACTGTGTATCGTTATGGTTTATGATCTAGATGCATTATGAATTGGTCTAAATTGAAAAGTTCAAGCAACAACTTGATTTGTTGCACAAAAGAATTGCATCATTTGCAGAAATCCGAAGTAGATTTTTAAATTTTTTTATTTAACTGAGCATTTGTCATTTTAGCTCACATTTTACTTGCGTTCTTCAATTTCACGCTTTAACCCATGCAAGGAAGTGGCAAAATGAAGCCTGGGAATATTACAAGTCACGAAATGATTCCATCATTGTAGATCTTTCCATGAGACAATTGAAATCTACTGTGATTTGTCCTACTTGTCAACGAAAAATCGGTCACTTTGATCCATTTGCTTCATTAATTCTACCTATACAAGAAA